TTCAGCATGGGGGTGAGTAGAAAATGAAGGCTAATCATGTTTTGGGTGTACTATTCCTTTATGTATTAGGAGAGACCAAAAGCAATAGAAACTATCAAGTGAATGGAAAAAAGTGAAATTGAAATTTTATAAATACAAAAAGTGAAAGAAAAGCATGCTTTTGTATTCCGAGCTTTACATCAAACGAAGTTGTGTTCAAAGAGGCAATACAGATAGGCAATTACTTTCAAAAGCAGTTCAGTTGAATGCAATACAATACTGCATTCAACTAAAAACTAAATCTGTTTCCTTCCACTTCACAGGTACACTACAAAAAACAGAAATCTCAATAAGTTATTTTTTCTTAAAATAAGTGCGTTTTTCCTTGAATTGAGGAGGTAAGTAACACACTTTGCCAATGGAACAAGAAAATTTCCTTTAAAATAAGAAAAAAACTATTTTATCGTCTTATTTCAAGTAAATATTATCTAACTATCTTAAGAGTAAAAATACTAATTCCATTGGCAGATCATCTTATTTACCTGCTCAAATAAAGGGTAAATATACATAATTTAAGAATTTTTTTACTTATATCTTGATTGTTTTTGCAGTGTAAATTATTTGGTTTATTTTAACCAATTCAAATAAATATTAGAGTTGTCTTATTATGTAAAGAAAAAATAAAGTTCAAGAGATATGAAAAGAATTTGCAAAGTGCTGTATAATAAATATTGTGAAATGGCTTACAAATTTTGTCAATTTCGTCCTCAGGTAGAATTGGCTCAGTCGGCACAACAGGATCTACAACAACAAGAAATTGTATTTTAATCCATTACTTCAGGGAACTCTTTTCACACCAGCAAACTTCTATTTCATGCAAGTGAACTCACCATCGCAGTCTGTCTGACCAACTCCTTCGAGAACCTTAATGTCATCCACGGCAATGTCTCCCCAACTTTTCCTCTGTACAAGACCCTCAATCACCACCTTAGAACAAAACAAAATAAAGTTAATGTCTAATTGATCTTTAAGTCTTTGAGGGAAAGAAGTCAATTCAAAGGACACTCACTTGATAGGGTTTGCTAGTGCGTGGCATGAGAACACGTCCTTCCCTCCAGCGATTGCCTTGATGACCACTGATCGTCCAAAGCAATATATCAGCCGATCCACCTTCAGTTTGCTTACGCTGTTTGATATGCAATGTTCCAATGTGCGGCCCATACATATGGTACCAAAAAGACAGGCACAGGTCAGCATCCTGAGAGTTGACCGGGGGACTGACCAGTCGAGAAACTTCGTTCTCTTGTAGACCAGTCGCTAAAGTGTAGATAAAATTCCCTGATCCTCCTGTTGGAGAGTTAGACTTTGTTCACTTCGGGGTAAAAAGAAGCAATTTAATTGTTTTTTTTTTCCCGTGTAAGCACTTACCTGTGTGGTCCATGTTAGGACCAGTGTTGAGAGTTGGGGTGCCACTGGACTGGATTTGCCATCTGGAACCAGTGTCCTCTGGTGTCCAGCTGCAGAAGGACGGATCATTGGGCCAACCAAAGTCGCAGGCAAACCACTGAAACGCTGAAAACAAATTGAAGACATGTCAAACTCATGCTATTAAAGAAGTAGAAATGTCAATGTATTTGTCTTGCTTCCAGAAAATTACTTAAGAGCTTGTAGCCTGTTGTCAAACTTTCACCATAAACTTACAAGGAATCCCTTTCCCCTCTACAAACACTAGAGGGCAGCAAAGCACTGCAGAATAAAAACTACAAGACCCACTTGTTGGTGAGACCAAAGTTAGAAGATGAAAACAAAATGTGACATGAGCCAGAGAGAAATGCCTGTGTAGAAATCACACTTTTATCATGGCTGCTTATAATGATATCTCTTAATGAATGTAACAGGGTTGAGTGAGGAACAGACGGGGATGCATGCTGGGAACACACACCAAACAATGACAGGGGGATCGAGACGACAAGGTCTGGACACAGCTTAGAAAGAGACATTCACAGCATCCCGCTGAGAGATGAGGATTTTAATGAGAGCAGGGACTTGAGATTTCAAGACAGCTATGGCAACAGTGCCGAGGAGCTGTTCCAACTATGCGATCCCCCATGGACCCACGGCGTGCCGGAGCAGCCTCCACAGAGGCCAAAAAACGTGTGAGAGCTTACAGACAAAGACAGAGAACACAAGGGAGAGGGATGTTTGGGAAGTTAGCCATGGTTTTACGCTTCATCAGGAGATTCCTTCAGATATATAATGAGGCTGTCCTCCAAGTGACAAAATATATGAGCCAATATTCCCTTTAATAATGGGAAGGGTTTAACCAGCTTCTGCAGGCTACGACTCTATTTACCCATTAAGCACAAAGGATGGAATTCTCATATGGAACCACATTACAGACTGCTACTTTCACATATAAACCCCAATCCCAATTAAAATGAGTTTGCTTTCCCCTCCTTCCATTATTGGAAGGCTTTGACTGGGGCAGCCAACACGTCTTGGATAAGATGAGCAGCCACATGACTCATTTGGCCATTTCCTTTAAAAAAAGGGACTTTTTCCTGCTCAATGCCAATGGAAACTAGAGGCTTGGAGATTTGGGCGCATGGTAGACGTACACCCACACATGCCCAGACATTTAAATACGAGCATATGGTTGGTTTACCTCTGGTAAAACAGAACTGCACTCTAAAATAAAAGCTACATTTATGACACTAAACAAGAAAATACAGTTTTCCTCTAGGATAGAGTGACTTGTGAGTTTTTTCTTCAATATTGTCATGATACTGACAACTACAGACAACAGTGTATTTTATTTACATTTTGAGGGACTGACCAATAGAGGATAGCACATAACTGTAAAGTAAAAGAAAAGTGATAAATGGCTTTCAAATAAAATAAAAATCTATATATGGAGAACCCTTAAGCACATTAATTTGTAACACAAACTGGTTGTAGCTCTTGTCAGAGTAGAACATCCTTGTATATAAATATGTTTTTTCTAAACCAGTGGTTCTCAATTCTGGTCCTCAAGTACCACTGTTGTTCAATTTTTAGATGTCTCCGGACATTAACGGACATCTCCAGCACTTGATGGCTGCTGAGGAGCTCATGCAATCATGTGAAACAGGTGTGCTGCAGCAGGGGTATCTGAAATATGCTGCTCAGTGGTACTTGTTGACCCGGATGGAGAACCATGTCTCTAAACAATTGCATTGTAGGTGTTTATTTGTAACCTGACTCCGCCAGATAGATTTGCTCCGCATATCCATCTGGAAACCTTCCA